TAATAATAATAATAATAATAATAATGGTCATTATGGTGCTGCTCCTACTGCTACTGATGATGATGGCGATGATGATTATGATGATGATTTTAAGGAGGAAGAAGGAGAGGAGGAAGAGGAAAAAAACAAACAAAACAGGTTGAGGACTTGGCTCGGACATTGACCAAAACCCGAGCAACCCAAAGGAAGGACCAGAAGTTGTGTAGTCTCAATCTGCAGAAACCTATGACGTCAGATACAATAGTGCGGTCAAAATTCGTGGCACAACTGACCGTCAAATGTCTCTTTAACCGAAGAATCATTGTCATCCATACTTTGCACAATAATTTGTATAAATTTGTCTTAAGTAAATCATATTTTTTCCTACAACAATTGGAGCTAGATTTAAAAACTTTTCTTCATAAATCTATATAAAATACTTGAAATCTCTGTCACACGTAAAATGGTATTGTTCACAGCACTTCCCGTTTCTCACACACATTTTGCAAACACATATGGCATCGATCTATGTCACAGCTCATCTATGACAATTTTTAGTGGCTAAACTTGTTACAAGAAAATCAACTTTATAGTGAACACATTTTTTGCACTAATGGTTCTCAAAACATGCGTTCAATAAGCATAATGTGCCGATTAAAAAAACATGACGGACTTGCTATTAAAAGCAATATTGCCCAAGCTGTAGATCTAATCATTTTAAAATCTGTCAAAACCACCCACTTGGATTTTTTATTAGTAGGGCCTATTTATTAAGAAATTTTGTAGAATACAGATAGCAGGGGTTCACAAAAATATTGATATGTTCAGACAAATTGATACAAGTCATTGTGCAAACATTGGACAACCTATGTTCTGTATATATTTGAGGAGATATTTGACAATAAGTTGTCCTTCGAATTTTTTATCTCACTATGTCTCTGAGTTCATTGAGGACAAGCGGTCTGGTCATTCCACAGCGTTTGAAGTTGGGCTGTTTTCTGGCTCTTTGAAATAAAACATTAGAATAATATCTTCAGAAAACGGTTGCTGTCTGTCACATTTTATACATTACACATACACATACGCATACACACACTTATACACATATATACACACACACACATACACATACACACACTTATACACATATATACACACACATACACACACATACACACACTTATACACACTTATACACATATATACACACACATACACACACATACACACACTTATACACATATATACACACACATACACACACATACACATACACACACACGCGCGCACACACACACGTACACATACACACACACAAATATACACACACACACACACAGACACATACACACGCACGTGTGTGGTTGGCGGGTGCTCTGGTGTGGTTTTCTTCTATCGTCCTTATCTCCCTTCCCTTTTTATGTTTGTTACTCTCTTGCAACACCTCTAATCTTCTAGCGCTCATTTGACCTTATGCAGTGGCGAGTGTCGTAAAACCTCTACTAAAGCTAAAACACACGTTCACACATAAGTTATATTATAAACACACTTCATGTTTCAGTACTGTTTTCTTTACCCAATAGCTTAAATGCAACACCATAGACACTATGAAAGATACAAATTCGTGTTTCTGTTATGTGTAATATAATCTATAATAAGGTCGAAATAAGCCACAACAAAATAATTATTGAATTTGTCTACTGCTGATCGGACATACCAGTATGTGTCCACTCTGTCCTTATAAAGAGTTATTCCTTGGCTTTCACATGCCACTTGGATTATTAAATTCGCCTCCTAAATACCCCCCTCCCTTAAAATAAATTAATAAATTAATTTTTAAAAATAAGTAGTAAAAAGGGAGGTAAATAAATGAAGTAAAGAATTAAAGAAAGAAAGAACCTGAGAAAAAATAAAAGAAAGAAAGAAAGAAAGAAAGAAAGAAAGAAAGAGAGAGAGAAAGAAAAAAGAAACAAATAAATGAATAAATAGATTTTTTTATAAGAATAAAAAAAATAAAAATAAAAAAAATGATAATAAAAACAATTACTTTTTTCCGAAGAAGTAAGACAAGGTATGCGGTCGCCACACGCCGCTGACAAACAGTCTTTTTCATTTAAAACATTTCAAAACCATAACGACATGCAAATGGAATGTGGATTCCATTCAGTTTGAAACCCGCCACGGGACATTACCCATGTTTTATTCGTGCCAAGTTCGTGTCTCGGTGTGACACGCAACGACAGAGATGTCCGGCAGGGGGCGCTGTTAAATGGTCGCTTTTAAGGACGAGCGGGCTAACCCAGATTTCGGGGGTTTCCAGAAATCTTGACCTACACCAAAAGTGGGCATTGCCCTACCTATAGGAGAAGTTTGGTTTCATTGATGTCTATATTTGTTTGTATATAGAGAAAACTCTCCTTGTCTTTTAAAGAAACTGAACAAGGGGCAAAAACTTTACCTTCGATTTTCTCAAAACAGCATTTTTAGGGATAGCTTCCTTGTGTTTACGCGACCAGTTGTGGTGGAGTAAATAGGTGGTCTTGTTATGGTCGTAATAACAACAGTATTCTTATTGTTATTGCTATTATTATTATTATTATTATTATTATTATTACTATTATTATTATTATTATTATTATTATTATTATTACTATTTATTTATTTTTTTAAAATTATTATTATCATTAATAATAATGATAATAATAATAATAATAACAATAGTAGTAGTAATAATAATAGTAATAATAATAGTAGTAGTAATAATAATAGTAATAAATAATAGGATGATCATCATCATCATCATCATGACGAGGATGATTTATAATTAACCTCTTGGCCTGGCTCACACTGAGTCGCTTCCATCTAGCCTGGTAACCACACCCTCTTTGTTAGGACCATTTCCCTGCTAGTATACAGCACTCATTTCGTTCTACTCTTAGTTGCTCCTGAGGAAGCCCAAGGGGTTAAACGTTGAGCTGTTTCAACAAAACCCATTTTAAACATTGTGTTTTTTAAATATTATTTTGTATGAAAATAAAGCAACACTATCTCTCCTACTCTGCTTTCCAAACAAGGATGAGACCTTTCCCCCAAAAACTGGAGTGAGGGGATATTAACATATTTGTTTGCCCAGTAGAATTGTAAATGGGCTGATTTATCAATGTCGTGCTCATACAGTGCCGAAACAACATAGGAGGGGGGGGGGGAGACTGTTTTCTTTCCTCATCCCTACTATCGTCATTTTACCTCTACTTCTTTGTATGTTTTTGTCATTCTCTTGTGAACTGCTATTTCCGGGGTGCCTTTTTAGTCGAAGCAGACTTTGTGCTGTTGAGGCTAGAGAGGTGAGCAGAGTAAGTCTGATTCCCCGTTTGAACTTCTCCATTGGCTCCCACCCCTTGGCGCTCATATGACCTTATGCAGTAGCGAGCGGAGTAAAACCTTATTACGACTTAATTAAAAACAATGACGATGATGATGATGATGATCATGATTTTCATTTCCTGCTCATTCCAGACGACTGTTCAAACTTTCCCCGCGCATGCAGAGACACCTGGACCTCTATCTGTACGCCATCTTGCCCTCTGAAGGTCACCGACTCATCTGTCTGGACATCAGCTCCTCCCCCTATGACGTCACACAGCAGGAGGCGGGGCCAGACGACAGCGTACTTCGCAAAGTCTGGAACTTCGTTCTAGAACATTCCAAGACACAGGTGGACAAAATCTATCTCCGCACTGACTATCCGCACGTGCGTCACTCCGCGAGCCGCCAGTCTTTTGCCAGAAGCACCGTGCACAAGCTAGAGGTCACTCGCTCTACCTCCCACCTGGGCGAGGCGGGAGCGACCTGTGAGAGGCTGGAGCATGGACTCATTGACCACTACATCATGAGGAACTGTGACGTGTTACTGGTCAGCGGGAGTCAGCTAGGGCGGCTGGCGGCTGCTGTCAGGGCGAGCGATGAGGGCTTGTTTTGTCTGATGGCCAACGGGCATATCCATCCTTGTAACACGAAGGGGCTGAGTGACTTGTTTGTGGCGCATTCCTGATTGTGTGTGTGTGTGAGTGTGTGTGTATATATGTGTGTGTG